CTTCGAAATGAGAAGCAAACTTGGAGTGATTGAGAGACCAATAACACTTTCAAGTTTGAGAATGGGTGTTAAGAATATACCTTGTGCTAGATGCTGCTGACATTAAAGATAAGAATTGCCATCCATGAATACTACAATAATTTGGGAATATTTTACAGAAATAGATTATAATAGAATTTATCCTGTAACATGAGCTGCAATTACTGTTTGTATTGTACACGTGTCTTTTATTCATTGATTGAACAAGTTTATAAATAAAATGTTCTACTATCAAATTGTATAATATGCTGAGAATTATTCTCATTTAATATTTTGTTATTCTTGTCTTTACTCACAAGAGAATTAATTGAGAATCGCACAAACAAATCAAGAATGAAAAAAAAAATTAAGATAAATAAATAAACCTAATGAACTCAATTCGGAACTTGTCATCAAATGTTCAAACTAGCTCAAATCTCAGCCGGAAAAAAGAAGAAAAAGGTCACAAGGAGAATCATCTCTTGTTCTTCTGTAAACCTATTGTTCAAGAGAGTGATTATTTTGTAAAGTTTAGGGTTTATAAAAAAAGGTTGTAATATCTCTTGGGTATTTTATGATTATTTTTGTAAAAAAAAAGAAAGACATATATAAGAGGAATTAACATCAGATTAAATGAACAGTTATACGTTATTTGAAGATGGTGAAAAAGCTTAATATGTTATTTGAGTACAGGACAGTGACGACATTGTGATAGAGGGGTGAGTCAAAATCAACCACTTTTGTTATTTAGCATACCAACTTCGTAGAATGTAAAATAGAGTACAATTAAAAATTTGGAAACCAGTTTAATACGTAATATAACATAAAGGATTTTGTTCTTTTTTTATATTTTAGTTTCCTTTCTCAAATTTAGGTTATTATTTTTTCTAATGGATTTCTCATCCTTTTAAAAGAAGATGTCTAGCGCAGACCAAACAGCCAAATTCAATCTCCTTTAGTCCCAACATTACAAACAGACTAAATTTTTTTACTTTTTAACTTTGTTTTGTTATTTACTTGTTTAACTTTCCTTGTAATTTATTTAAAGCTCTACATGTTACCTTTCATGCCAACATAATTTATCTTGGAAAAAAATATACACGCAGCATAAAGTGATATTCTTTTTTTTATACACTTCAGCCACGCAATTTGACCATATCTACACGATACGTCTTTGGTGTCATCACAACATAAAGGAAGCTCAACCCTTCTTTCAAGCCTGAACATGTCACACCAGCAGGACATGGTCTGGAAACAGACAACTCTTTTACTTTGCTTCCTGCTGACAAAGATTTCAAGTCCAGAAAACCCACATGAAGGAAACAGAGGAAGAAACACGCACAACAAAACTTACATTTCATAACCCAAATCATCTAATGGTCACAAGGAGATACATGCATATACGCACTTATTGGTCATTTGCAACGCCAAGAATACATTGTGCAAGATGAGTCAAATACGGTTCAGCCTGGGCACTATTGCTCAATATAGGTCCAAGACTCTGCAACTCAATATTGAACTCCTTCTCGAAATTGCTGCAGTATAAGGCGCAAAGAACAGAGATGAGGAAGAGAAATGGACAGACTAAAGAGTCAAACTACCTGTCATTATTCAACTTACAAGATAGAATCAGTAACTGCACTGTCTTTAGTCACTAGTTTGTACACTTGAGATGTTTTCTCTTTCTTAGATCTTTCTTTAGAATCAGATGATTCCTCTGGTTTGGTAATGCTGATAGAAGTTATCAACCACTGTGTTGCTGCAGCATAATGGAGACACAATGATTTCAGCTTCTCCACCTTCTGCAATGGAGAAATCACTCTTGTTAAATACAGAACAACCATATAAAACAGAACTAGAGTTCTGAAAACAATTGGCATCAACAAAACACTGCATTTCTCACAGAAATTTGAGTTGAACTTCATACTTCTGACTAGAGTCATCATAACGGACTAAGAGGAAAGTTATCCCATTGACTCAATATCATTACCGCAAATAGACTGAATAATATCTGGCTAAGAGCACAGTATGGAGAAGAATGGTTGTAGGGCTTGCAATAATTTGAGTCGAGACTCATCCTCAAAAAGAAATAAGATCAGAATGGTCCCTTACCTCAATATATTCCAAGTTTCGGCTATCTATATATACTGGTCTAACTTTTTTCAGGGAGAACAAAAAAAGAGAAAAAGAAAACATATTTTGGTTGTAATTAACATAAATAAAGAGAAAACACACAAGATCAGGTTGAGATACCAAATAGAAACAATTTAGGTCCTTAGAAACCTCAACTGACAGTTTTCTAAAACTTATTACTCTTACTTCCAGATTTGTCGGGACCATCTAATCTCTTCCTCTTTATAGAATGAACTCTCCAGTGCTTTTTATTCTTAAGCAATCAGCAAAGTCCTCTACCTATACTGCATCCATTGTTCATTTGCTATTAAATCTTTATTTCCTAAAAATTCTAGAGCTATGCATCAAAATGCAGGACAAATGATGAGGTAAGCTTGCATAAACAACTCATATGAAATGTACTTGACTTCTTTTAAAATAAGGATTTTCACATAGAAAAATTTACCAATATAATAATTATATTATCCTTAGGGAATGTTTTCTAAATGCCATATATCTAAGGCAGCTGGATATGCTCCTTGATTATGTGGTTTTCACCATGTCCCAGAGGCCAATATGCATCCTGATGTCCTTGAACTGGAGGATATGGTTTGCACTGTTCTTTCTTTCTTTTCCATCAATTATCAACTTTTTCATAAATGAAAAGATGTCCTGGGCCAAAATCTTGTTTATGTTCCTCCTTACCATAGAAATAGCACAATGCATCCATGACTGCCTAGTGTCAGAATAATCTGGGAAAGTATGAAAAAGACAAGCAGAACAAACCTTGAGCAGTTCAGGCAAAAGAAGCAAGCACTCGCGCAGACACTTGTTAAGGAAAAATTCATGATGTTGGATCACCTGATAAAGAATTAGCTCCCCAAATAAGATACAAACACGTTGCATAGATGTGCATTCTTATGCATTCTTTCATATGTCTGAGAACTGTGCAAGCCAGCTTTCATTCAAAAAAATTTTGAAGAGATCAGTCAGATGATGAAATTCATACCTCGTCTATGCTCCTAGCATTCTGAATTCTACTGTGTACCATGTGCCAATTAGGTTCAAGAACCTGAAGACAAGCATTGCAAATATGTTGAAAAAGGTGGCAAGCCATTTCATTTCACAAGTTTCTTCAGAAATCAAAATTTAGGGAGATAAACAAAATGTGATTTCAACTTGGAGTCAAATACTGCATCATATTGCTCCAGTTTTTCTTCTGAGAATTATCAATTTAGTCCATAAGCTTTACAATATGTTACAATTCAATCTCGAAATTTTTTTCATTCCAATTTAATCCTTGAATTTACAATATTGTTTCAAAATATGATTTTTTATGATGAAATTTTTATAGAAATAGCAAATTTTTTCTTATCTTACTTGAATGATATAAAAATAACTGAAAATAACTATTCTATCTATGACTAAAATTTGAAAAAAAATTCAAAATGGTTATTGCAAGCATATCATCTTCTCTAATGTTATTATCGTCTACATGGCATAAATAATACAATTAATTTTTCTTTGTAACTTTATTAAAGCTAATAATTTGGTGTTATAACTTTTGAACTCTATCGGAAATAAACTGTATTAAAATAAAATGAACTAACGTCCAAATTCTCACAGTTCTATAAAAAGATTAGGCATTTTTTTAAAAAATTATTTAAAGACTAAATTGTAAAAAGAACATAAAAGTTTTAGGAACCTAATTGTAACATGATGATTAATTTAGGGGCATAATTTGTCATTTTCTTTTCCAATTCTCAACACTAACCACTCATCCCCCCAACCATTTCCTTTTCTTTGACCTCCAAACAAATTTGCAAGATAATCTGTTGTAAGCTAAATGAATCTACCTCCAAAAAAAAACATTTTCTGGATAGATTTGCAGGTAATGCAGGGACATGTATATCATGTCTTTTCAGTTTACCAATTTTTTAGGGTCGACAGCCAATGTAT